AGCAGCGGCCATTTTAATACGCTGGTGTTGCAAGTTATAAAAACTTGTATCTGTCACAAATAATAGATAGATGTCATTTATTTGTTATTTGACCGACCCAATAGGATCCTAATATCCTGTCAAATGATTTTTTTTGAAACCATCTGCACTAAACTTTGAACATTATTTTGCTCTTAAAATTAAATTATTCATTTTTTAGTCTTCTTTTCTTTACATCCTAGCTACCTACCTCATAGCTCTCAAAAACGTTATGTACCTTCTATACACAATCAACAAAAACATGAGTCAACATTCAACATTTTATTTTTTGTAAGCATATAATATTGAATGTTTAGAATTCTAGATTCTAGATGTTTTTGTTGATTGTGTAGGGCAAAACACGCGCTAGAGACCCGGCCAACTAATTCAAAGAGCCGATTACGGTAATTTTTAACGTCAACAATCCACACGCTTCTCGGTTCTGCGACACGATTGGTCGTTCAACAGCGCACGTCAGCTGTTTTGACCAATCGTATTGCAGAATCAGAAACGCGTCTGGATTGTAGACGTTAAAAGTTACCGTAATTGGGGCTCAGTGGGTCTAGACAAAGTGCCATTATAATCGCAAACCAGTCGAAAAGTGGTCGAAAAGCCCCTTTTTTGTATGGAATTTGACGGATTCGATTTTCGATTCGATCAAAAAGTGCGTTTTGTCTAGGGGGGCAGAGCCCCGATTACGGTAACTTTTAACGTTTCCAATCCAGACACGCTTCTCGATTCTGCGATACGATTGGTCGTTCAACAGCGTACGTCAGATGTTTTGACCAATCGTATTGCAGAATCAGAAACGCGTCTGGATTGGAAACGTTAAAAGTTACCGTACAGGTCTTCCTTTGTGCAGACTTTGCGGCACAAGGATCATTCCTACACAGTACTTACAGGGTATTTCGCCAAAAATGGTCAATTTTGCCTAATTTCCTTGGCACGAATTTTATTTTTGTTTTGAACTATTTTTTGTTTCCCAAAGCATTAAGTAGTAAAAACTAAGCTAATATATCTAGAAGGGGTGTCATAATTCGTTTTAGAAACAAAGTTATGAGGTCATAAATTTTTGGTAGCCAAGGAAATTATTATAAATATTTTTTTCTCTAAGTTTTCTTCTGTGGTTTGCTTTTTTTTTGTTCGCCCCATTTTTGTGTACTTTCGCAAGCAAACATGCCAATGAATATTATATCATTACGACCTTTTTACACAACTAAGGAAGATAAATGCAGTAGATTGAGTTAAGAGTTAAAAACAAATTTTTCTATATCTATTCTGATACCTATTTCTTAAAATGTAAATTTTAAACTTATTCCAATAAAGAAATACTCAAAATTTGACTTCAGGTCTTTTATAATTTCCTAGGTCATTTTATGCCACGGAAAACAAGGAAATTAGGACCAAAGAAATTAGATTTATGCCTAAAAGACACAACAGACAAAAACCTATTTACCCTATGCATTTACTATTTAAATCATGGGTTTACCCCTACAGACACTACATTTGTGTAAATAAACAATAAAATTAAGTCATTGTTTAGCTGCAAAAAACCGTCCAAAGAAATTGACTTTTTAGTAAACAAAAACCCAAGGAGGGACCTATTTATGCGATTTGTCGCGAAACTGATCAACGACGTACTGTCCTGCCTCAATGGCATCTTGGGATGAAATGGCCGAGTGTAGTGGTGCAGTGCGTTACATTCTAAGTTTTTTCGTTTCGTTACAACAATGGTCGAAACGAAGACCCATGGAAATTATACTTTTGACCTGGACAAGAACTTAACTTCACTTTATTTTCTTCCTATAAGTATTTGACATTTAAAGTTTTTATTTTCCGATAGCCAAACGTTTCTCAAATGTAAAGAGAGTGCTATTAGAATTAAATTACGCTTCAATTTGTTATAATGAGCCTTCATTTTGGCAAACAACAGTAATGGACATAACAAGGAAATTAGAAAAACTACTTTTGATTAAGTTTTTCTACGGTATTATTTGTAGTTTCTGCTATTGTAATAGCAAAAACAAATAAAACTTTTGATGAACTTTCCCATAAAAATAGTTTTATACAGATAGATATAAAAAAACATGTGTTCGCCTGCCTGGACACAGAAAATTTACTGTTTCGGCGAAATACCCTACAGCAACCGATAGCACCACATGCTATTTGACATTGACAACAGCAGCCATCCATTAAACCCTGAGGTTGTTCGTAGAATCGTGGGATACCATGGGAATGGGATACTAAAGTGGAGTTTAGTCACAGAGTACATTATAACCTACTGAATGAAAGTTTAGTGTAGATAGCGCCCGCAGGAGAAACTGCGATACTTGTTTGTCATTAGCCCCATCCAGGAAATTTTAAAACTTGTCAGCTTCACTCTTGGTGGCACTTATTTATAGCCAAGGACGAGTTGAGTTGCTAAGCTAGCTGCTTGTTTATTTATTTATTTATTTAAAGGCACAAACAAAAGTTTTGGCCTTCATAGTCGCGCGTGCAACTTTTGGGTCTTGCGCGGTAGGAATGGTTGCGTAACTGTGTTTTTATCTCAGCTTTGCTTAATGGTAGTCACCATTAAGCAAAGCCATTGATGTCACACTCCAGGTGAAATGGATGACCTCTTCTTGATGAAATTGACCTAGCGATGGGCGATTATTACTAAATTAATCGAATTATTCGAACGGTCTCTTTAATCGAATGTATTCGATGAGCAATAGCAGTCATTCGATTAATCGACGCGTAGATTAATTGACGCGCGCCTTATTACTAACGATTAGCATGATTCTGTGATGTATGTTATCTGTGGTCNATGGATTGAGGTGAAATAAAAACTAGTGTAATGTGTGTGATCTAAACTTTAAATTAAGTCATAATTTAACTTAATATTACAACTTATGCGTGTTGTCCATTGGCTTATTTCAGCTTCGTATAGCGTTATCTGTATTAGTTAATTTAGTTAGTGCCTGAGGTATTTGAGTGGCACATTGACATAAACTATGACGTGACAGAGCATACAAACTTACCTAAACTTTAAAAAAAAACCTGAAGCACATCTGTCTCGCTGACTTTTGACGTCACAAAAACACCCTCCCGTGCCGCTACCATACCTCAGGCACTGACTGAGCAAAGCCTAGACCTATACCATACATTTTGTCTTGACGTCTATTCTTCCATCAAAACACAATAAAATACTTTTGAATCAAAATCCTAACACATTTTTGGTCACCGAAGTTGCCAAAGCTTCTCACTATGACACTTTAGTAATTTTACTGTTCGTTGCAATTTAAGCCCTATGCCTATAGTAATAAGCTTTATACTCACTTGACAAGCGCCATAAAGGTGCAGTGTAATTCGTGTCTATGGGCGCGACAGAAGTTGCCAAAGCGTCTCGCTATGACACTTTACTGGTTCAATTTGCAATAAACAGCAAAGTAACTTGACAAAGATGTTTGCAAACATCTTGACAAACATCTTTGCAAATATCTGTTCTTCACACCTTTGCCTTGTACTTGCACTGTATATGAAATTTGTTAAAGATCTTTGCAAACATCTGGACAAACATTTGAAAAAATGTTTGCTGTTCTCACCTCAGCTTTGCCTGTGTACCTATTATATAGATTAATAAGGTGCATACTCACTTGACAAGCGCCATAAAGGTGATCCGTCTCACTTTTCTGATTTTGTGTTTGAGTGCGACAGAAGTGGACAAAACTTCTTGATATGATACTTTAGTTACTTTACTGGTTCAATTTGCAATAAACAGTAAAGTAACTTGACAAAGATCTTTGCAAACATCTTTGCAAATGTCTGTTCTTCATACCTTTGCTTTGCGCGGTATATGAAACTTGACAAAGATCTTTGCAAACATCTGGACAAACATTTGGAAAATGTTCGCTGTCTTCACGTTATAGCAAATTGAACCTTATGCTAATACAGATCAGGTCTATACTCACTTGACAAGCGCCATAAAGGTGATCCTTCTGACTCTCTTCTGGTGTAATTCGTGTCTATGGGCACGACAGAGGTTTCCAAAACGTCTCGCTATGATACTTTAGTTACTTTATTTGTTCAATTAGCAATAAACAGTAAAGTAACTTGACAAAGATCTTTGCAAACATCTGGACAAACATTTGCAAAAATGTTTGCTGTTCTCACCTTAGCTTTGCTTGTGTATTGTGATATGCATACTCACTTGACAAGCGCCATAAAGGTGATCCTTCTAACTCTCTTTTGATGCAATTTGTGTCTATGCACGCGACAGAAGTTGCCAAAGCGTCTCGCTATGACACTTTACTGGTTCAATTTGCAAATAAACAGTAAAGTAACTTGACAAAGATGTTTGCAAACATCTTTGCAAATGTCTGTTTTTCATACCTTTGCTTTGCTCGGTCGGTATATGGAACTTGACAAAGATCTTTGCAAACATCTGGACAAACATTTGGAAAATGTTCGCTGTCTTCAAGTTATAGCAAATTGAACCTCATGCCAATACAAATAAGGTCAACTCACTTGACAAGCGCCATAAAGGTGATCCTTCGTACTCGCTTCTGGTGTAACTCGTGTCTATGTGCGCGACAGAAGTTTCTAAAGCGTTTTGCTATGACGCTAGTTACTTTACTGGTTCAATTTGCAATAAACAGTAAAGTAACTTGACAATGATCTTTGCAAACATCTTGACAAACATGTTTGCAAATGTCTGTTCTTCATACCTTGCGCGGTATATGAAACTTGACGAAGATCTTTGCAAAGATCTTGACAAACATCTTTGCAAATATCTGTTCTTCATACCTTTGCCTTACACTGTATATGAAATTTGACAAATATCTTTGCAAAGATCTGTTCTTCATACCTTTGCCTTGCGCAGTATATGAAACTCGACAAAGATCTTTGCAAACATCTGGACAAACATTTGGAAAATGTTTGCTGCTCTCACCTTTTGATCACCATCGATGATTTGTTGTATAGACACATAAGGTGCATACTCACTTGACAAGCGCCATAAAGGTGATCCTTCGTACTCGCTTCTGGTGTAATTCGTGTCTATGGGCGCGACAGAAGTTTCCGAAACGTCTCGCTATGACGCTGTCGTCGCTTTCACCGCTGTCTCTGACTCCGACCATGATGATGTGAATTGGTTCTAAAGGCTGGGGGATAAGGTTGGTTTTAGTAATTTGCTTATTTATATTGAGTATGAAAAAAAACATCGTTTTAGTGGAAATTTTTACTCGACTGCGCTGATAGAGGGTTATGTTTTCAAGGTCTGTAGCATAAGGGTTTGATGCATTTTAACTTGAGAGACGTTAGAATCGTCTCAAAAATTTAAGATATGAAAGGCTGAAGGTGATATGTCGCATTTCGGATTTTTCGCTGTTCTTTGCTTGAACGACATCATAAAGGTAGCAGGAAGGCGCTGGACGCAGGCCGCTACCAACCGGGCAACATGGAAAGCATTGGGGGAGGCCTATGTTCAGCAGTGGACGTCCTATGGCTGAGATGATGATGATGATCCTTGAAAAAGGTATGTATGTATATTATACAAACAGTTTCTGGTACCTTTGTGAGGTCGTTGGTTCACCTAGCCCGACGGATTAGCAAGCTGAAGTGGCAGTGGGCAGGGCACGTTGTACTCAGAACTGACATCCGATGGGACAAGGTTTGGAGGTCATATACCGGAAAGCGCAGCGTAGAGCGTCCACCCACAAGGTGGACCGACGACCTCAATATTTTGCAAGAAAAAATCTTATTTTATTTCATTCTACGATCGCGGACTTACCACGTCTTCAGCGTCCGGCATTTTGGCGTAGTCTCCAACGTTGATGCTGGTGCTATCGCGGCTCTCGCTGCCTTCTTGCAGGGCTTGGAGGTCCTGGAACAAAGATGATGTTGTAGCATAGGTTTATACAGGAACTAGCTGTGCAAAAGGCGATGACAGCTCGCGAAATGAGATGACAGCTCGCGAAAGGCGATACGGTGTTGATAAGATAAGATAATCATTTATTGTCTTTTCTGTGTAAGTACATTGGTTGTTACAAATAATACATGCATGTAAAAGTAAAAGTAAAAAATGTTTTATTTTACAAACAGAGCGACATCACATTTACATATTATATTACAAAAAGAAGAAACATTGTGCCCTACTGTCAAATAGGGGCCCGCTCAGCATTAATCGGGGCATGCCGTGGGCACTGGGCATGCCTCGACACCAATTTTCAGCGGGTCCCTTGACGTTGTTGCGCCCTACCGCCGAAGGAGAAGCACTCCGTAAAGTACCTGTCCGTCGGCGGGAACACGCATGTCAAGGTATCAACAGAATCGTCCATTTCGGACGTACAATATTTGGTAGGATAAATTATTAGTACGTTAATTGGATTTAATATCATTTACATGTCAATTTTACAGTTGTTTACTTGTCATTAAAATATTAATTGATTTCGGACGTATAATAGTCATCAGAATATTGCACGAACTGGTCGAACGAATCAAACGCAGCCAGAGCTCCAGTTCTATGATGACATTTCCTCATGGCTGCTGTGCAGAGTTCCGCTGGGATGGTCTTTTGGAGAGGAGAGTGGGGAAAGGGGAAGGGGAGACTTTAGAGGGGAGAGTTTAGAGGAGGGGAGAGTGGGGAGAAGGGGAAACAGGAGACGGGGGAAAGGAACAGTGTGCGAAAGGGGAGAGTGGGGAGAAGGGGAGAGGGGAGAGTGGGGAGTGGGTGAGGTGAAGGGAAGAGGGGAAATAGGAGACGGGGGAGAGGGACAGTGTGGGAAAGGGGAGAGTGGGGAGAAAGGAATAGTGAGGAGAAGGGGAGAGTGGGGAGTGGGTGAGGTGAAGGGAAGAGGGGAAATAGGAGACGGGGGAGAGGGACAGTGTGGGAAAGGGGAGAGTGGGGAGAAAGGAATAGTGAGGAGAAGGGGAGAGTGGGGAGAAGGGGAAGTCGTGGAAAGGGGAGAATGAAGAAAAGAGTAGGTTGATATAACTCACCTCGCGCCTAACTGAAGCAGTACTGGCAAAATCGTGCACCAAGTCCAACAACTCATCAGAATATTGCACGAACTGGTCGAAGGAGTCAAACGCAGCCAGCGCTCCAGTTCTATGATGACATTTCCTCATGGCTGCTGTGCAGAGTTCCGCTGGAATGCCTTCTTGGTCTTGCGCTGCTGAGAGCTCAATCTCAGATTGGCTGATGGGGATCCTGGAGGGAAGAGAAGTCAAAATATTAGTTGCAAAACATTTATAATCTAACCTACTTATTGTAATATTATCCAGCCGGGCTAGGAAGCGCGCCATGATAAAATCTTATCGATGATTTAGACATATGTAAATAAAATACCGCGATAAATGTTTATCATGACACAGCACTTCACTCATTCTATTTCTATTTATGAAAATTCAGTTTCGGGACACGCGTGTGAGTCGGTTGGTTACGTTTTTTTTTACTAGCGGTGCCCTTCGTGTCATGGCATATCAGAAACCAGGCTCCCCTGAAAAAGAATCAATGGCCGTCGCCAGTTAAGTGCGCGTCACCATATACTGTCCATGTTGTTGTATGAGTCGCCGTCGCGTCGTGTGGCCTTAGTCTGTCACTAGTTTCGTCACAGACTAAGGCCACGCTACTAGCTGGCAGTAGACGCGAGCAATAAGGATAGGTAGCTTGGGGTCATTGGACGAAATTCTACGTGCTCGGCGACCGGACTTTAGCTGGCAGTAGACGAATGGTGATGGAGAAAGCGCGAGATCGTGCCCTGTCGCTTCTTGACCGTTAGTAGGATATCATAAGCTGTAAAGATGATGGTAAAGATAATGATGATGATGATGATGATGATGATGATGATGATGATGATGATGATGATGATGGTCCTCACCTGTTGGGGTGGCCAGTAGGCAGCACGAACTGGAAGTGCACGACTCCCAGCTCTCCCGACAGCGCGAGGTGCTGCAAGCACTGTATCTAATACGACGTGTAAGCGCGGCGGACGTACACCTCTAACACCCGTATGCGATGCTTAAAAGAACCAGCATTCGAACGCACAGCGTTGATTAAGCTCTGTGATTGGTTCGTGGGTTACTCTGTGCGTCCACGCGCTGTGAGATCTCATAGTAATGTTTGTGAAAAGCAGGGTAGGTGTTGCAAACACTGTATCTCGTACGAGGTGTATGCTCAGCGGACGGGCCGCGTTGCATACTAAGCTAAGTCCGGTCGCCGAGTAGATAGAATTTCGTCCAATGACCCCAAGCTACCCATCCTTATCGCTCACGCGCAATTATATTGCTATCGCGCTCGCACACTCACTGCGGGCGCGCGTCGTACAGTCGCGACAGCAATATAATTACGCGCGAGCGATAAGGATGGGCAGCTTGGGGTCATTGGACGACATTCTATGTGCTCGGCGACCGGACTTTCATCGGACCGCCATCGCTCGGCCGTCGCTAGTTACGTCGCAGACTACGGCCGCGTTGCATACTGGCTGTCAGTAGAGAACATGTGATGGAAAAAGCGAGAGATCGTGCCCTGTCACTTCTTGACCGTCAGTGGGATACCAACCATAAACTGCGGGACAAACTTGACCTTCACTGGCTGGGTTATTCGGTCAAGCTGTAGATCCTGGCTACACAGGAGTTGCAGCGATGGGACAAGAGGTGGGAATAGTCCCGTTCTGGGCCGTCATTGGGATACCATAAGCTGTAAAGATGATGATGATGATGATGATGGTCCTCACCTGTTAGGGTGGCCAGTAGGCAGCACGAACTGGAAGTGTACAACTCCCAGCTCTCCCGACAGCGCGAGGTGCTGCAAGCACTGTATCTCATACGACGTGTAAGCGCGCCGGACGTACACTTCTAACGCCGCGTTGCATACCTGTCGACAAAATCAGTCCGGTCAGTACCAGTCAGTCAGTCAGTGGCGGAAAGTGACTGACTCACTCATCACGAAATCTCAGAAACTACTAAACTAACGCCTTCAAACTTGTTTGGCAGGTAGGTTCCTCATAGGGTGAAGACATCCGCTAAAAACGGTTTCACTAAACTCCATCCCTAAGGGAGTAAAACGGGGTCCACGCGTTAAGTCGCTGGCTGCCGCTAGTAGCTGTATAAGGGTGATAAAAGGAGACACATTTGCCACAAAACTTTGTTGCTTTTGACTGGTGAAAGACGTCGCGTGGATGTTAAATAACTTAAAGCTGTATAAGAGTCGCCTTTACAGCTGTTTTACCACTACTCCTGTCCTGTCCAGCTTTATTTACTTTTTATCACAGTTACAGTTCCTATTCTTTCTCACAACGGCGAAATTCTTAAATATCTAATAGAATATCTTTTAAAATACTTACAGCTGCATTAGTATGGTAGAAGAAGTCGTGGAGTATATCGAATATCGACGTCTCGGACAGTATAAGTTTCTGAAGGTTCTCGGGATGGAAATCATGTCCATACATGTCGACGGCGGAAAGGAATATAGATTCCATCTGATTGTGGCGAAGTTCGTAGGCCGGCTGGTGGGCTGCTATGAGGACCTGGAAGAAAGCATCATCATCATAATCTTCTTCGTCCAAAGCTAATTCTGTAACTTATTTGGAAGGGCCTTTGAGTTTAAATTGATATGTGTATATGTATAATGTGATAAGACGATGAATTATCTTAATAATTGAAATTCGATTGATTTATTAATAAGAAAGTGAAGTGAGCTTCACGCGGAATCCACAGAGGAGCTGGCTATCTTACCGCCAACTGCCGGAACACGACAATGCTGTTAACATTACTGTTATGGCGGTAGTCTTAGGTAAGATGATGGTATAGCCAAGTGGACTCAGAACAGGCCTTACCATCAACCAAATCGAGCAAAAAATATTACCCCCACTGAGAATCGACCCCGGGAAGAGCTCTGGATCTGATAGAAGTGGTCTAAACCATAGAGACTCAATTATAATTATCTATAGTTAGATAGATAGAAAATATTTATTTGTCTCAAAACAGGTTTCATTTACAGTTTATCACAGATATAATATATAAGTCGTAAGAGACAAAAAGGTCTTTGGCTCATCTATCACGTATAATAATTTTATTACTGGTTCGTAGAAGTATTGCTTCTGGACACACCACCCCTTAAAATTATCCCAAGATTTGTACTATACCTGTCTCGCTCTAAGCGCCACTCGGCTGTGCTCGGCGCGGTGCAGTGACGTCAGTTCGTTGAGGGTCGCTGCCAGTTCATCGGTCAGACCAGGCTCGTTAGACCACAAGTGGTCGATAAGCAGGGTCACCTGAAAATAATAGGTTAAGTTAGTAAATACCAATATTAGTAGTCCCGTTAACTCCTCGTGGTAAGCTAATATGCTTGTGTTACGAGTACTTACGAGTGGGTTCAAAACAATAGTCCAGTGGTGGGGTTCGAAGTTCGAACTAATGTTTTATAGTAGGACAACATTGAATTGTCCCAAATATGACATTGACAGGGGGCGCCACCGTCAATACCTAACGGATCGCTGGTTCCGATTTTTTCCATGTTGAAAACTATATAGTTGAACGATGGTGGCGCTGAAATCGCGATGAAATAGTGACAGTGACAATAGGACTTACCAATAGATTCTTCTTCGGCACCTGGTTGTGCGAGAATATGATGTTGGCTACGGTCTGCATATCGTCCTTGTAGCGGTCCCTCAGAGCCACCACGCATTTGTCGTATGCACCTGTTGGATACATTAATACATTATGAGTTCAACCAAAAGGCACCCACTGCTAAAGCCTGGTCCGTGAGCACGTAGAATTTTGTCCAATGACCCCAAGCTACCCATCCTTATCGCTCGCGCGTAATTATATTGCTGTCGCGACTGTGCGACGCGCGCCCGCAGTGAGTGTGCGAGCGAGACAGCAACATAATTACGCGCGAACGATAAGGATGGGTAGCTTGGGGTCATTGGACAAAATTCTACGGACCAGGCTTTAGACAATTGCCTTTCGCAAGGATTTGCACAATGCGAACGCCCGGTTCGTTCGTTCCATTCAGTCAAAAGGCGTCCAGTCCACTGCTGGACAAAGGCCTCCCCCAAGGATTTTTACCGGTCTTGCGCTGCAAGCATCCAGGTGCTTCCCGCGACCTTCACTAGATCGTCGGTCCACCAAGTGGGGAGTAGCCTAGTAGTAGGTACAAGATTTTCGGCCCGTGGTCGTCACTCGAGAACTATTCTGCCCGAATGATTATCGATCATCTCTTACATTACTTTACCGGACGTTGTAGAAATCCTTCGGGAGGCCTTTCCCAACGTCATTTGGCAGAAATGAACGATCTTCACTTTGCAATCAAAGATAGTTTTACTTCAATCATAGATACAATGATATTTGGCTTGGTAAGATACAAAAATCGCTTGTTCCCAACCAGTCACACCAAAAAGTGTAACACTGTTACTCGATTGGACATTTATTTACTGTATGTTCCTAACGGTTCACACACTAAGTCTTACGTTTAATGTAAAAAAAAAAAACAAAAACAGAACAGCTTCCTGACAGAAAATATAGGTTACAGTGTTACCAGTTGCGAAAATGGGAAAACAAATATTCTCCTCACGAGTAATGGTGTGACTTGATGGGTATTTCTATACAAACGAGCAACAATGTTACTTGTTTCGTTGTAACAGATTGGGAACAAGCGGTTCTATTGACACGGTCTACGATCATAAACTTGTAATGATGATGATGTATAAGGTGACATCACTTACCGAGCTGGAAATGGCTCTCCACCTGATAGTATAGCTTGAGTAGATCATGGACGGCTGCCTTCATACGTCCACGGATGCCGTTTCTGAACAAAAAGGCATGGTGTTAAAGTATCATTAATTAAAGCCCGGTCGCCGAGGACGTAGAATTTCGTCCATTGACCCCAAGCTAAGCTGTCAAGCTCGCACAATAACTGCGGCTGCTCGTCGCACAGTCGCGACAGCAACATAATTACGCGCGAGTGATAAGGATGGGTAGCTTGGGGTCATTGGATGAAATTCTGCGTGCTGAGCGACCGGACTTTGGCTACAGGCATAGCGTATAATCGGCATTTGACACCACCAATCAATTGACGCACTTTTTAAAACTGTCAAAACGAGATTCTCCCATACATTTTGTATGGCAATATAAGCAAGTGACGTCACTATTTTGTCAACTCAATTAAACTAAATACTTTTTCCAATTACAATGCAACCAAAAATCTTAATTTACAAGTCATTTAAAATTAATTAAGTTTTTAAGATGAATTTGATCAAATCCGTGCGTCATTATTGTAGTGTACGTGTGCACACATGGATCATTTAGCGTGTACCGATAACACTCAAACATTAGCGGAAGAATGGTGGGGCGCGTCTTCGTGGATGAAACGATCTACAGGGTGTTAGGTAAATGGGTATATGAGCCGACACTAGCCCATGTTAACACGGGCATATAAATGGTATGATGAAGTCAGAAATTTGATATCATCATTTTAATTTTTTTTAATTTTCATACAAAATAAATTTTATAAAATCCGATTTGTATGAAAATTAAAATAATTAAAATCAAGATATTGATTTTCTGACTTCACCATACCATTTATATGCCCATGTTAACATGGGCTAGTGTCGGCTCATATACCCATTTACCTAACATCCTGTATACCATCTTTAATATGACGTACCTGTATCTCTGCACTAAGACCACCAGTGCTTGTGTGCTCATGAAGAATACGTCTCTGTCTTGCCTCTTAGCTAGAGAGGCGGCGTGACTGAAACAAAAAATATGATTAACCTCGACTCGCGTACTAAGTTCCCAAGTGTGACTAACGCAGTGTAAAATCACTGCAGTGCAGTGCTGCAGTGTAGTTTTTGGGACATTGCTTGAATTTAGAAACTTTCTCGAGTGACCGGACCGAAAAGCATATTGTAGGCAGACTTCCCACTCAGTGGACCGATGATTGTGGGCAATGCAACCTGGTGGTTGTGGTGATCCATCACTTTCCATCAGGAGAAATGCAAGCTAAAAGCTTCCCTATTTCGGTTAAAATAAGGTCCTTTACTGGACAAGCTAATTCAAACTAAATGTTCACCTTTTTGTAAAGCAAATAAATTCACTCTCTCATCAGGAAATCTCAGAAACTACAAGTGTTAGGAGTCTGAAATTTTGCATGGGGGTTTCTTTTAGAACGTAGGTGCTCACTAAGACGGGATTTTGAAAAATTCAACCAGTAAGCTGGTAAAACGGGATCCACGCGTACGAAGTCGCGGACGGCCGCTAGTTCCTTTTTTTTTTTTTTGAAATGTCAAACCCTTTTTTTTACCACTAAGGCGAGGCTAAAAAGTACACTCACTGGTCAATAACGCTAGCAATCTGCTGGCTCGGAAACTGTGCTAGCACGGACGTGATGTTTCTTTCGTATAGCGCCATTAGTTTGCGCACTTTCTTGCATTCAACTCATACCCTACTGAACTAGGAAGAAATTGTACCCCAGTCTTGGTCCTTCGAGCCGGATCTACGAAACCCCAAATCTACAGAATTCTGAGGTACCTTTGGTCTACGAAATCTCGGATAAAGGATATTCTGATCTACGGAACCCCGCTTTAGGAACTCCAACTACGGATCCCGGACCGTAAGGACCCCTACGTAGCACACTACTGAGGTGACATTAAGCTGTCACGGTATATTAGATCAACATTCTATAGGTTTGGTGGTTTCCTTATTTTTCTTTTAAATTGTCAAAACCTTTTTTTTACCACTGCGGTGAAGCTAAAAAGTACACTCACTGGTCAATAACGCTAGCAATTTGCTGGCTCGGGAATTGAGCCAGCACGGACGTGATGTTTCTCTCGTATAGCGCCATCAGTTTGCGCACTTTCTTCTCCACAGCGATGGGGATTCGGCCGGAAGTCGATGATAGAACCTGGAGAAAGAGAGGGTAGAATATAAGAAAGAGACAAAACGATGTTTATAAGTAATAGGACAGTTGATACAACCTCTCGTTCCCACAATTGCAACTCCTGTACAGTCAGGATCTACAGTTTGGCCTCCAATGGAACCCGACAAGTAAGGGCCAAGTAAGGGATCAGATAATAGGACGAGTTAGAAATAATAATTTATAGTTGACCTTACTATAGGTCTAGCGCTTAATTGAGTCAGTGCCTGAGGTATGGCAGCGGCACGGGAGGGTGTTTTTGTGACGTCAAACATCAGCGAGACTTCAGCTCGCCTGAGTTAATGCATTTTTTGCCACGTTGAACAATGCTGAAGTGTCCCATATATGACACTTACAGGAGGCTGCTATCGATATTGGGTTATTACTTCCGATTTTTACCATGTTGGACAACAGAAGTGTCGATATACCATACGACTTTTACAGGAAGGCGCTACTATCGATACTAAGGCTGGGTTGCACCATCTTACTTTAACTTTGACAAACGTCAAAAATCTGTCAAATACCATATAAAAATCATCGGTTATCGTCAAAGTTAGGTGGTGCAACTCAGCCTAATAACTTACGCCCGTATTCACAAACGATGCTTGCTTAAGTGAAACAGCAAATTGAACTCACAGCGTTGAACAGAGCTCTGTGATTGGTTCATGTGTCACCCTGTGCGTCCACGCGCACTGTGAGATCGCATAGTAATGTTTGTGAATATGGGCATTAGGCTAATTTCAATTTTAACCACTTGACGTTTCAGAATTTATGTTTGAACTTCTATTAGTCAATGAGTGACTACCCTTCTATTCACATACCTCTTGCAACTCCAGCAGCGGTAGTGACGGGTCGCGTAGACTCTGCATGAATTTTTCGACCACTTCGCGGAGGCGAGGCGTATTGTAGGGCTCGGGAAGACAGTAGCCTATAAAGAAAGAATATTAATGTAAAATACAATAAACTAAATGCTGTGCCGTCTTGTGTATTTGTAATAAGCGCTGAGAAAATGTACCAGTTGGCGCCACTGTCTAAGGCCCGATTTCCACCAAGGCGGAACAGAGCGGAGCGAAGAAATGTTTTGAATAACCATCCGAATTCAGTTTTCAGTTTCTCCGAGACTGGTAGGCTGTCTTCTAACGGGAACTGTATGGCACGGCTGTTGGCGCCACTAGACTTTAATGGCTAATGGCGTCAACTAGAGTTCGCAGATAAGTTGGTCTAGGCTAGTCCTTCTACATTCAGCAATCACCAGTTGACGCCATTAAGCCTTACTGGCCACTGGCGCCAACTGGGCGCAAATTCAGTGTAATGTGTTTATAACTTACCAGCGAGCGTATCGAGTATTGTATGGCACGGCTGTTGATGCTACTAGACCTAACTGAATGGCGCCAACTAGTGAGTTTAAACGCTAGTCTTTCTACACTCATCTGTTTTCGCCACTAAATCGACACTAACCAATTGGCGCCATTAGAATTTAATTGCCACTGGCGCCAGTTGGTGGGCGGAAATAGTCACTAAACCTTACTAGTCAGTGGCGCAATCTAGTAGCTGAAAATAGTCACTAAACCTTACTGGCCAGTGGCGCCAACTGGGCGCTAACTCAATCTAACTGACTGTACATGTCTATAACTCACCAGCGAGCGTGTTCTCGAGTATGGCCCTGTATTTGTTGTGCGCGTGGTTGAGTTTCTCCGACACCGGCGGGTTGTCTTCCATCGGGAACTGGCCCTTGTATGGCACGGCTGTTGACGCCACTAGAACTGACCGACTAGTGGCGCCAACTGAAGAATGTAAATAAGATAGTCCTACCGCTTCGACGCTGACTAGTTGGCGCCCCTAGATCTTCCTGGTCACCAACTAGACTTTACTGGCTTGTGGCGCCAACTGGTGGCTGGAAATAGTCACTAAAGTTGGCGCTAACTGGGCGCAAACTCAATCTAACTGACTGTAAATGTCTATAACTTACCAGCGAGCGTGTTCTCCAATATGGCCCTGTATTTGTTGTGCGCGTGGTTGAGTTTCTCCGACACCGGCGGGTTGTCTTCCATCGGGAACTGGCCCTTGTATGGCACAGCTTTTGACGCTACTAGACTTAACTGAATGGCGCCAACTAGTGAGTGTAAACGTTAGTCCTTCTACACTCATCACTTAATGCAGATGCGATAGACCTACCTACACTGATCACTTATCTGTTTTCGCCACTAAATAGACACTAACCAATTGACGCCACTAGAATTTAATGGCCACTGGCGCCAGTTGGTGGGCGAAAATAGCCACTAAACCTTACTAGTCAGTGGCGCAATCTAGTAGCTGAAAATAGTCACTAAACCTTACTGGCCAGTGGCGCCAACTGGGCGCTAACTCAATCTAACTGACTGTACATGTCTATAACTTACCAGCGAGCGTGTTTTCGAGTATAGCCCTGTATTTGTTGTGGGCATGGTTCAGTTTCTCCGACACCGGCGGGTTGTCTTCCATGGGGAACTGGCCCTTGTATGGCACGGCTGTCGTCACTAGGGACGGGTCGTCGAGTTCTGGGAACAAATAAAAAAATCTGCATATTTGTCTGTTACCTTTTCATGCTTAAAGTACTAAATCGATTTAGATGAAATTTGGTATAAAAAAATCAAATCAAAATCATTTATTTTGTGTGAGTAGGCTCCCAAAGAGCACTTACACGTCCAAACCCTTTGGGAACTGCTTTGGGAAGCAGCTCAAGAAACTTACACCGGTATTCATAAACGATGCTTGCTTAAGTGAAGTAGCAAATTTTGAATAGAGCTCTGTGATTTTTCAAGATTGTGTCACCCTGTGCGTCCACGCGCACTGTGAGACCTCATAGTAATGTTTGTGAATACGGGCGTCAGTCACTATTGTCAGCCTAGGGTATAGTTTGAGTAATAGGAAAAAAAATTGTAAATTTTTTATCCTGGTTTGAAGGCGGGCAGTGATAAGTTTGTCTTTCTGTGTCAGAACTAAAAACGAGATCATGACGTCACATGACACGAGACAATCTGTTATTTATTTATTGTTTCAAAAGAACTGATCCCTCGTGGCAAGCTAAATGTGCTTGTGTTACGAGTGGGTTCCACACTAGTCGAGCGGCGGCGGGGATCGAAATCGCGTTCCTCGGATCACGAGTCAGCCAGTTCGAATCTTCACCGTTCGGCTATCGTGGCAATGTTTTCTTTCAAGATATGGTTCCGTACATAAGGTTTACTTACCAAGGGTTCCCATAAGAGTCCCCATATCCAACACAGCGCCAGGGCGAATGTTCCAAGTCACCTTTCCGGATTCGGGCGCGGACAAAGTCATCACCATTTTCATCACCTGGTGATGGAAGGTGATGTTGTTAGATAAGTAATACAAGTGATTTATTGAAACACATTTTGAAATAGTTTGGGTTAATCATTCATGATTATTGATAAATTCATATTCCGTAATCATCATCATTATACAATCATTTCATTTCACTATCTGCTATCCCTATCTCAATCTGAGATCTGTAAAAAAACTAATCAAAGTTAAAATGATCCATTATCAGTTCTTCCATTATCACAGAAACTAAAGGGAGATGTGACAAGGGCGCGGGGCCAGTGTCGCAGCAATATGCCCAAAAACAGAACACATTGCTCGTGAAACCAATGACGACAGCAGCGACGTCATAATGTAAACAGTTTACATTGCTTGCGTAGTACTAAAGCTTATTAGAATCTTTGAGTACTGGTAGTCGCTCCTAAAATTTGGACACTGATAACAAAATCAACCTGTATATCAATAATCTATCTCTCTCTCACCTCAATCTCAGCGTACGGCTGTCCCTTTTCCACATGTCCGCCATCTTCCACCAAGGTATTGATCAGTTTCCCAGCAGATGGCGCTCTGAGTTTAGACGGGTCTTTCTCCTTCTCAAAGACGACCGTCTGGTTGCCGATGACGATGCGGTATTTGTCTACCTCGTCTTTTAAATAGGTGGTGAAGGACGCGCCGTCAACTGATAGGAGAGTGCCTGGGGAGAAATATTTAAATAAATAAATTAAAGTGAAATAATATTGTAAATGCTTAACCACATGCCTGCCACCATATACCGTCTTAGCTATCATATTCACACATACACTAAAATAACCAACGTAGTAAAATCTGAAAGGGAGTGATTCTGATTCTCAAATCATAATATTTTTGTGCAAAGAAACGAAGTGTTATTATAAGCAACGAATAAGCATCGTTCATAAGTGCCACTTGTGGTCTAAACTGAATAAATAATTTTGATTTTATTTTGAATAGAACTTCTCTATTTATACGAGTACTCCACTTTTTTACCCGCCGTTTTATTGTGTCTGCACATTTTTTCATTCAGCAAAATGCAGGTTACGCTAACGCAGCTAATAGACACTTGCTTGCACTTGGTTACTAACAGACCATTCTGGCAATCATTGGTATATCCAGCAGTGAACGTCCTGTGGCTAAAGTTCGTTTCAGCTTAATGACGTCCACTGCTGGAAAAAGGCCTCCCCCAAGGATTTCCACAACATCCGGTACTGCGTTACCAGCATCCAGGTTCTTCCCACAACCTTCACCAGATCAACTGTCAGTGGACGGGGCATATAGCTCGTAGAGACGATGGCCGTTGGGGCAAAAAAGTTCTCGAGTGGCGACCACGGGCTGGAAGACGAAGCTTGGGCAGGCCTCTCACTGGGTGGACCGATTGTTTTTTTTTATGTGACAGGAGACAAACGAGCAGACGGATCACCTGATGGTAAGTGATTACCGTCGCCCATAGACACCCGCAGACCCAGGGGCGTTACAGGTGCGTTGCCGGCCTTTAAGGTGAAGATACGCTCTCCTCTTGAAAGCTTGAATGAATTTGCGGTTAAAATGACGTCAAACTTACCTCCATCAGTCAGCTTATGCACCTCCAACTCCTTGAAGCTACCATTCATGGCGAGGAAATACGAAGTGGGTCCGGACTTGGTGGCTGTCACCTTGTATTTGGAGCCCGTGTGGATCAGCTCCACGTCTACACAGTTGGATAGCTGACTGGACCCTTGGATTTGACCCCTGGAGATGAGGAACAGAATTAGAATGCATACTACAGGTGTAGCGCATAATTGAGTCAGTGCTAGAGGCAAGCGGAACGGAAGGGTGTTTTTGTGACGTCAAACGTTAGTTGGACTTGAGATGTAATTCAGACTTGTATGCTATGTCACGTCATATAGGGATGTTTCCAGGGTTAAAAGCTTGTTTGAATTAAGTCAGTTGTAGGAAATTTAATCAGCTTTTTTGGTTAATAGTGGTCATGTCACTAGGACGCATAGTTTCCGAGATCTAAGCGTATAACCTAACCTCGCAGGCTCAAATGCTATGGACTCGGACTTTTGATATGTTTACCTACTAACTAGTCCAAACAAAGTACAAAGTAAAAAAAATGTGTTCCAAGCATTTCCCTCTAAAGCCTGGTCCGTGAGCACGTAGAATTTTGTCCAATGACCCCAAGCTACCCATCCTTATCCCTCGCGCGTAATTATGTTGCTGTCACGCTCGCACACTCACTGAGGGCGCCCGTCGCACAGTCGCGACAGCAATATAATTACGCGCGAGCGATAAGGATGGGTAGCTTGGGGTCATTGGACAAAATTCTACGTGCTCGGAGACCGGGCTTCAGCTAGTTTTAATGACAAACTAACTTCTCAAGGCCGCTCTTGAACTCCTGCAGGTGTGCTGTGATGATGCTGTCTGCGATCAGAATGGATCCGCAGATGACTCCTAACATGATGTCCGGCTTCTCTGATTGTACCTGCGAAAGAAATAACATAGTTAGTTGCTCTGTATACCGGACTATTCCCACCTCACGTTCCCACTGCTGCAACTCCTGTGTAGCCAGGATCTACAGCTTGACCGCCAATAACCCAACCAGTGAAGGTCAAGTTTGTCCCGGGGGAAAGTTAAACTGTCATTGGACCCGCAACAAAATTAATCAGTTCGAAGTTAAGGTTCGATTTCCCTCCAGTGTAAAGCGGATGACAGGTGACAAAACAAAGGTGGTCAAGTGGTCACCCGTTTCAGACCCAGAGGTCCCAATTCGATTCCCAGTGGGGGCATGTTTTTCTGTTCGATGATGAAAAGTCATGATTAGGCCGAAGAAAGAAGCGAGCTGCTGCTGTGAACATTGTTGTTATGGCAACAGACTTCGCTAAGATGGTGGTAGCTAGCTAGCCAGGCGGATTTAGAACAATACCTACTACCGACCAAACGCAGCAGAAAATTTTGTCTCCTCTGGGAATCAAACCCGGGAACCTCTGGGTCTGAGTCAGATGGTCTCTTTCCATCACGAGAGATGCAGGTCGAGAGTTACCACCATCTTAGCTAAGTGACTCCTTTACAGCAGTGTTAACAGCATTATTCTGTTCCAAAAGTTGGAGGCAAGATAGTCAAGTCAGTTCCTCTTTAGTTGCGGATTCTGGGTGAAGCTTGCTTCCTTTCTTCCTTCTTCTATCTGACCTTCAACGATCATCAAAGTGAAGTCCTGGAGAAGCTTTGTCGTTGTAAAATGATCCTTACCCTCTCAGCAATAAGCGCGTCCAGCCAGCTGGTATCAATGTTGTTCTCCTTCAAGCTTTCTCACAGATCACAGAAACTAAAGGGAGATGTGAAAAGGGGCGGGGCCGGTGTCGCAGCAATATGCCCAAAAACGGAACACATTGCTCGCGACATCAATGCTGACAGCAGCGACGTTATGTGTAAACAGTTTACATTGCTTGCGTAGTACTAAAGATTATTCGAACGTTGAGTACTGATACCCCAGTGGATAATGAGCACATTCAAAGTTTTCTCGTTGTAAAATGAACCTTACCCTCTCAGCAATAAGCGCGTCCAGCCAGCTGGTATGGATCGTTTCATCAACGGAGACGCGCCCCACCATTCCTCCGCTAATGTTTGAGTGTTATCGGTACACGCTAAATGATCCATGAGTGCACACGCACACTACAATAATGCCGCTCGGATTGCTCGGATCAATCTTTCCGCACCCCGCGCGACCTAGACAAAAAATTGTGGGGCGCGTCTTCGTGGATGAAAGGATCTATATCAATGTCGTCCTGGCGAAGCTTTGTCGTTGTAAAATGAGCCTTACCCTCTCAGCAATAAGCGCGTCCAGCTAGCTGGTGTCGATGTCGTTCTCTTTCAAGCTTTATCACAGATCACAGAAACTAAAGGGAGATGTGAAAAGGGGGCGGGGCCAGTGTCGCAGCAATATGCCCAAAAACGGAACACATTGCTCGCGACATCAATGCTGACAGCAGCGACGTTATATGTGTAAAGAGTTTACATTGCTTGCGTAGTACTAAAGCTTATTCGAACGTTGAGTACTGATACCGCAGTGGATAATGAGCACATTCAAAGCTTACTCGTTGTAAAATGAACCTTACCCGCTCAGCAATAAGCGCGTCCAGCCAGCTGGTGTCGATGTTGTTCTCCTGGAAGGAGGCCGTCTCCAGCAGCGTGATGAGGTACTCGACGGTGGTGCGGAAGTCGCCGCGGATGCTCAGCTCTCATGGAAACGAGCCCATAGGTAACTAGCTAGGAAATAAGGATAGGACAAGCCCTACTAGCAACCAAACGCAGCAGAAAATTTTGTCTCTTCTGGCGATGACCAGGTCCCTGGCTGTAGCTATCTTACCTCCAACAGAATAGTGATGATCAGAACGAAGGTGGAAGCGAGCGTCACGCGGAACCCTCAGGCACAGAGGAACTGGCTATCCTACCTCCAAGCATCCAACTGCTGGGGTCTAAGTCCACATGGCTAGCTGGTAGCTAGCCATGTGGACTTAGACACGGTTTCCAAGAAGGCGGAGCGGAGCCAAACTGTGCGGAACGGAGACGAGAAGTGGAAATAATGAAATCTGATTGGTTATTTCAATCACTTCTCCGCTCCGCTCTGCTCCACGTTGGTGGAAACGGGCCTTGGAACCTAGCCAAACTAAGTAGAAAATGCTGTCTCCTCTAGGTATTGAACTCGGGAACTCTGGGTCTTAATCAGGTGGTCTGGTAAGACCAGGTAACCATGAAAATGGACCTTACCCTCTCAGCAATAAGTGCGTCCAGCCAGCTGGTGTCGATGTTGTTCTCCTTCAAGCTTTCTCACAGATCACAGAAACTAAAGGGAGATGTGAAAAGGGGCGGGGCCGGTGTCGCAACAATATGCCCAAAAACGGAACACATTGCTCGCGACATCAATGCTGACAGCAGCGACGTTATGTGTAAACAGTTTACATTGCTTGCGTAGTACTAAAGCTTATTCGAACGTTGAGTACTGATACCCCAGTGGATAATGAGCACATTCAAAGTTTTCTCGTTGTAAAATGGACCTTACCCTCTCAGCAATAAGCGCGTCCAGCCAGCTGGTGTCGATGTTGTTCTCCTGGAAGGAGGCCGTCTCCAGCAGCGTGATGAGGTACTCGACGGTGGTGCGGAAGTCGCCGCGGATGCTCAGCTCTTTTAGGGCGATGACCAGGTTTCTGGGGAATAAATTAATAGTTTAAAAAACTAAAAACAAGCTTTTAATTACTGCACCAAAAAGGTCCTAAAAAGACAAATCCAATGAACCCAAACTCGATGCGATTCCGCCGTTTCGTTTAGGAGTTCCTATGGCCACCTTCCCATCATCAGACCAGCTCGACGGTACCATAAAATTGTATTGTCACCTAATCTAAATATAATTGCCAAGTTTCATGAGGATACAAGAATTAGAAGTGCGTGTAATTCAGATACTTAGATTCCATTACATAATTACAAACACGACGAACTAATAAAAGCGTGTAAAAAATAGAAAAAATAGATAAATAAATACATACAATACAACGCCATCTAGTGCTAAACTAGTGTTAGTTACTATAGCTACGAAATTATACCGTTTCAGGCCCGGTTTCCACCAAGGCGGACCGGAGCGGAGAAGAACGGAGCTGTGTGGAGCGAAGCGGAGAAGTGGAAATAATGAAATCTGATTGGTTATTCAAAACACCGCTCCGCTTTGATGGAATCCAGGCCTAAACCGATACACAACCGATACTAGATTATTTTGCAGGACCAGATAACTGATATTATTATAAACAATTTGCTCTCAGGCTTTAGAAAATTGATTACTTTTTTTTCATAGTAACAGTAGAAGCTTCCCAAAACGGCAACAATGAAGCTATCAAATATTTATTTGCCTGCTCTAATTTCCCTAAGATACAACATTGCGCCATTGTCAAAGCAACAAAGCAGGTATTTGACCGCTGGTGTTAAGTGAGATGCAGTCTAGGATGGTGCATATCTGCCCTGTAAGTGCCTATTCACTCTCGCCTTGAAAAGGCCCGGATTATAATGCATACTCACTCTCTAGCTTGCTCCCTAGTCTCCCCCCAAGAGAAGCAGTGTCCGAACTGAGAATCGGCGAACTCGTGGAGGCCACCGGAAGCGGCCACACTGAAGTATCCCCACACGTTCTTAGAAGACCTGAAGTTTAGCTCTTGCACTGTACCAGACGATGGCTTGAAACCTGGGGGTAGAAAGAAAAATGTTAAGTTTATGACGTTACAAAGTTTAGTGTGCAGTTGGTTGGTATTGAAGAAGGTGTGAGCCAACTGCAAAGGTAAGTTTGTTAACCTTTTTAGACTTCAAAAAAGGACAAGTATATTATCGCACGTATTCACAAACGATGCCTGTTTAAGTGAATTAGCAAATCGAACGCACAGCGTTGAATAGAGCTCTGTGATTGGTTCGTGTGGACCCTGCGCGTCCACGCGCACTGTGAGACCTCATAGTAATGTTTGTGAATACGGGCGTATGTCAAGCACTTCATTCAGTCAGTGCATGAGGTATGGAAGCGGCACGGGAGGGGTGATATCACAGAATAATAAAAAGTACTATGTACAGAAGTTGTACTTCGCGAAGGTATTTAAAAAAATGTATGCTCAATGTCATTAACAATATGGTGTAATTTAGCCTGTCTCAAGAGTCAAGCACCATTTTGTTGACAAACGTCAGTGATCGGCACTGCGCCGAAGCTATAGGGCTGACTTCGGTAAAATGATGTGACGTGAGGTGCCAAACTGCGGAAAATGGCGGAGGAAATACATGATTTAGCATGAATTATCACAAATAATATTAACTACTTATTTACCTCTCAGTGTCTTGAGGCAACTTAAAAAAGTACATTCTGTGTTTTTATTATTATTTAGGCAGTTAAATACTGCCTAAATATAAATACCATTTTCTTTATTTTCTTCCATCATACACAAGAATATGCGTGCGTGAGTCAATGTTCGCTCGTATGTGAGGCCTTGTCGAATAGTATCCTGTAGGTGGGCCTTCGTGCGTGTTTTGTTTTCGATGTAAACTCGCGGAGATGAACAGGCCTGGTGATATTGACATATTATGCTGACGTGACAGAGCATTCAAATAGACTGAAGTCTCGTTGAAGGGATCAACACTGTATCGCCTTTCGCGAGCTGTCATCGCCTTCCGCGCGCTGTCAACCACGAGGCGAGGCGTTTACGTTACGATGCGGATAAGTGTGCATTGCAGTATGGAGTTTCATACAAAGAATACTGATCGTGAATTTCTAATGCGACACTGGATTAAGACAAAGGCCTTTGTCCAGCAGTGGACGTCTTTCGGCTGAAACGAACGAACGAACGAATTGGATTTAGAACTCGGCGCATTAGTTGGTATCTCTCTAGATTTCCATGCAGTTGATAAATGTGCTACGGCCTTCACTTTCCCCCGGGACAAACTTGGCCTTCACTGGTTGGGTTATTGGCGGTCAAGCTGTAGATCCTGGCTACACAGGAGTTTCAGCGGTGGGAACGAGAGGTGGGAATTTACCTTCATCAGGGTTCTCCGAGGTGATCCTAGCTGCGATGACGTGGCCCCATGGTGAAGGTCTTTGCTTGGGCTCGTCGAAATCCAGCTGGGTCATGCCCCATGGGGATTCCCCGTAGAGGAGCCGGATGTCTTTGATGTGGTATAGAGGGAGACCCATGGCGATCTGTGTAGGAGAAATGGAATTATTTATTAAGAAAGAAAGAAACATTTATTACGATGAACATCACTTAGTTAAGGATAGAGAACAAATTTTAATAACTGTAAGAGTAGGCGCACACCGTTGATTTTTCGTCGGCCGATAGTTTAGTCGGGCAGTTGATCAGTATGGGCATGTATGGGAGTGCGCACACTACGCCGATTCAATTTGGCCGATTCTTCATACAATTTAAAATCGGGCACAACTATCGGCCAACTAAAAATCAACGGTGTGCGCCTACTCTAGGGAAACTCTTTTCAGGGCTTTTCATAGTATTGTTTTTTGCATTATTCAGTTTACCCAATCTAGTGACTGACGACCTACTCGTGCAAATAGGTCTCTTTTATATACTTGAAGTGGAAGTTTTCTCAGTCCATTCACTATTCTATCCAGTCTATTGCCCGTCTTCTAAGTCTCGTCGCGGTCTCCTTAGTCTACTCACGGTCTCCTCGCAGTTTCCTCAGTCTCCCCACGGTCTCCCAGTCTCTACCTCGTTTGTCTACCCTCGTCCCAGTCTCTCTTCGTCTCAGTCTCCCCTCGACCCCGTCTCCCCTTGTCTCCTGGTCTTCCCTCGTCCCAGTCTCCCTTTGTCTCACTTTCCCCTCGTCTCACTCTCTCCTCGTCCCAATCTCCCTTCATCTTACTCTCCCCTCGTCCCCGTCTCACTCTCCCCTCGTCCCAGTCTCCTCTCGTCTCACTCTTTCCTCGTCCCAGTCTCCTCTCAATTCAGTATCCCCATGTCTCAAGTCTCCCCTTATCTCTTAGTCTCCCCTTGTCTCACTCTTCCCTAGTCCCAGTCTCCCCTCGTCTCACTTTCCCCTCGTCCCCGTCTCCCCTCGTCTCACTTTCCTCTCGTCTCAGTCTCCCCTTGTCTCCCCACGTCTCCTACTCAGCCTCCCCTCGTCTTCTGCTCAGTCTCCCCTTGCCTCCTGCTCAGTCCCTCCTTGTCTCCTGCTCAGTCTCCCCACGTCTCTTGCTCAATCTCCCCTTGTCTCCTGCTCAGTCTCCCCTTGTCTCCTGCTCAGTCTCCCCTTGTCTCCTGCTCAGTCCCTCCTTGTCTCCTGCTCAGTCTCCCCACGTCTCTTGCTCAATCTCCCCTTGTCTCCTGCTCAGTCTCCCCTTGTCTCCTGCTCAGTCTCTTGTCTCCTGCTCAGTCCCCCCTTGTCTCCTGCTCAGTCTCCCCTTGTCTCCTGGTCTTCCCTCGTCTCCTGCTCAGTCCCCCCTTGTCTCCTGTTCTTCCCTCGTCTCCTGCTCAGTCTCGCTTTGTCTCCTGCTCAGTCTCGCTTTGTCTCCTGCTCAGTCTCCCCTTGTCTCCTGCTCAGTCTCCCCTTGTCTCCTGCTAAGTCTCCCCTTGTCTCCTGCTCAGTCCCCCCTTGTCTCCTGGTCTTCCCTCGTCCCAGTCTAACTCACCTGCAGCTGCGCGGCTGGCAGGTTGACGTCGGCCACCATCTCAGTGCACGGATGCTCGACCTGCAGCCGCGGGTTCAGCTCCAGGAAGTAGTACTGGCCTGTGGCCGGCTCGTACAGGTATTCTACTGTTCCGGCGCTGACGTAGCCGACCATCTTTGCTAGGCGGACGGCGGCCTGGGGAGAGAAAGTTAATAATTAATACACTGGGCATCAAATAAATCGCACCTCCCGCGACAAGCACTTTCAAACGTATGCATCCCCACTTCTCACCAATATTGGCACTATTTAATAGCCTAGTTCTAAACCTCATTTCAATAAAGGAAAGGTTTTTACCCCAAAAATGTGTCTTTAGAAGGAACCAGAGTCACTTCTTAAAAAAATAGGCAGTTACGCTTGAGCCAACTTTTATGGCTATAAAACTGTTAAGTTGGGATTAATCGCTATCCATCTGTTAAAGAGGACACGTGAGATCATTATTTGGTTTCATAACCATAAAAATTGGTCTAATTGATCCCAGAGGTGAGCCCAAAGTGAGGTCTCTTTTCAAGTCACATTTATGGTATATATTAATTATTTATTAAGAAATTAAATGTGTTTTTCTTTAAGGATATTTATTGGGCTTTCAAATAACACTAATATTGTTGGGGCACCACGATTGTGTCAGAAGAAAATCTTTAAAGGTCGCGTCGCGGAAAGTGCGATTTATTTTTATGATGAGTGTAGTTTAAAAAACTAAATACACGCTCTTAGTTTAGAGTTCCTATGGCCATCTCCCGACTGAATCATTGCGGTTCCGCCGTTTCGTTTAGGAGTTCCTATGGAATCAGACCAGCTCGATGGTACTTGGTGATTATATTGTCATCTAATCTACATATGTATAAGTAAAAAACAAAGGTGACTGACTGACTGGCTGACTGACATAGTGATCTATAAACGCACAGCCCAAACCACTGGACGGATCGGGCTGAAAGGCATGCAGGTAGATGTCATTACGTAAGCATCCGCTAAGAAAGGATTTTACGAAACTCCACCCCTAAGGGGGTAAAACGGGATCTACGCATACGAAGTTGCGGGCGGCCGCTAGTATAAAACATAATGTGGTTGAATTTTTCTAGTGGTGACCACGAAACGAAAGACATTATTTAGGCAGGTCTTTCACTCAGTGGACTGATGATCTAGTGAAATTCGCGAGAAGCGGAGGACCATTCGTTGTGGAAGTCCTTAGGGGAGGCTTATGTTTAGCACTGGATGACTTTCAAAGTTACAACGAAAGAACATAATGGCAAATGACAGGGCCTGCCTACGCTACGTCTTCCAGCCCGTGGTCGTCACTCGAGAACTTTTCTGCCCCAACGGCCATCGTCTCTACGAGCTATGTGCCCCGCTCACTGCCACTTGATTTTAGCAATTCTGCGAGCTATGTCGGTCACTTTGGTTCTCCTGCGAAAAGATCCTTAACTAACCTTTTCCATCTCAATGAAGACTTCGGGCTTTGCTATGGCGGCAGGGGCTTCCTCAATGATCTTCTGATGACGACGCTGGATGGAGCAGTCGCGACCGAACAGTGATATCGCGTTCCCTAAGAGAAGAAACACAGATTGAAATATCTTTGGACAATTTATACAGCGCCATCTAGTTAAGAAATCTGGAACTAAGCAAAATTAATTCGATAATCGTTTTATTTAATTTCAACTCGATTCATCCACGCCTTCCCGAAGTAAAGGGTTTTCACAGACGGTCCGGACGAAATAAGGGTCCCGTTTTTTTCCTTTCGAGGTACGGAATAGTCCAGTCAGGATCTACAGCTTGACCGCCAATAACCCAACCAGTGAAGGTCAAGTTTGTCCCACGGGAAGGTTAAACTGTCATTGGACCCGCAACGAAATTAATCAGAAGAACATAGGAGTTCGAAGTTAAGATTTGACTTCCCTCTAGCTAGTGCAAACCAGACTAGTATAGAGAAAAATATGTTTCATTACTTTTGGACCTTATGTTATCTACATAAAGTTCAAAATCTGGTGGCAGCAATTCAGCCACTAGAAGCGCCCCGACTGCGCTAAATATTTTCAACTGCAACGCAACTGGACAACGAACGAAAATCAGCTGTTTGTACAAATTCGTATCGCGCTTTGACAGCTAGTTTAAACGACGCTGTAACGTAATCGGAACGCAATTGCTTCTTTGTGTAAAAGCTACTTTTTACAGACGCAATTCAAACGCTATACGAACATTAGCTGTGTTTTAGTGAAAAAATAAAGTGTTCGGACTTTTAATCGAAAGTGCTTAAATCCGTTGATTCGTCTTTGTTTGCGCGTGAGCTTCACTACGATACCGAATCGCACATCAGCTGGAACGAAACTGGAATGTAACTGGAGTGTAGACTGGAGTTGAAACACGATTGAATTGGAGACATTAGAAATTAGGTGTCATATTACCGTACTGATCAGCCAACAACTGGACTTCCAAGTGACGGGCAGACCTGGCCAGTCTCATGACAAATATTGGCGAGCCGGGCACCTCGGCTTGCACCTGTAGACAATACTGAACTTTAGAGCCTGTGGGATTGGGGTTATTATTGAGTGGAGATATTTAAAAATGTCTTTAAATGCCTTGTTAAAGAAATTTCTGTTTAGTCAAGAGTAAATGAACAATATTGAGCTTTAGAGGCTGTGGGATAGGGGTTATTATTGAGTGGAGATATTTAAAAATGTCTTTAAATACTTTGGTAAAGAAATGTCGGTTTAAAGAAAGAAAGAAAGAAAGAAAAAACATTTATTTGGTACCAAAAAATTAAACAATAAGTACAATCAACTTAAATAGTAGAATAAATGAACAATATTGAGCTTCAAAGTCTATAAGATTGTGAAGATATTTAAAAATGTCTTTGAATGCTTTTGTAAAGAAATGTCAGCTTTGTCGAGAGTGAAATAGGGATTATAATTAATTGCAGAACATTAACTTCACAGCTAACGCGGTATTTAGTCCAAATAAGAAGATTTATTGAGAAGAAACGGAAAACATTTGATTGGATTTGGCAAAATTGCTAAATTGCTTTGTTAGTTGTAATCTTAACTATAGGTACAGTGCTTTAACTAAAGCCTGAGGTATGGGAGGGGTGACATTGACATAATAATATTATGACGTCTGAAGAAGATCTGATATCTCGCTGACGTTTAACGTCACAAAAACAGCCTCCCGTGCCGCTCTCATACCTCAGGCATTCACTGAGTTAAGCGCTAGACCTATAGAATAGTTTTAAAGACTCACCTGTCTAAACATGTTGCTGAAATCGTCGGGGTTCTCGACCTTCCTGATGCCTTTACCGCCGCCGCCTTCGGAGGCCTTTATCATCACGGGGAACCCTAAAATACATACACTGATTAGTTTATAATTCAATAGTTGGTAAAGTCCGGTTGCCGAGCACGTAGAATTTCGTCCAATGACCCCAAGCTACCCATCCTTATCGCTCGCGCGTAATTATATTGCTGTCGCGACTGTGCGACGCGCGCCCGCAGTGAGTGTGCGAGCTTCTAAATTGCGAGCGTGCGAAATGGCAATGCCAGATTTTGTATGGAAGGTGGTGTCTTTTTTTTTTCGCGCGGCCATCGACCAAACTTTGTTTTTTGATTACAAAATAGTGTAATAAACCAAACTAACTATGGCATGTATACCTCTAAACTCAGTCTGAACTGAGTTACGAGCATTAGAAGTTTGATGATTTTCATACTAGATTTGCTTTTTGCGCGCAAGTTTTGTAAGAAATTGCAACAAAATATTGCGCTATTTTTTATTGCGCTGATTCTGCTGCATACTGATGTCTGGAGCCTATAATGGATGATATTGTTTGTTTACACATACAATNACCTCTAAACTCAGTCTGAACTGAGTTACGAGCATTAGAAGTTTGATAATTTTCATACTAGATTTGCTTTTTGCGCGCAAGTTTTGTAAGAAATTGCAACAAAATATTGCGCTATTTTTTATTGCGCTGATTCTGCTGCATACTGATGTCTGGAGCCTATAATGGATGATATTGTTTGTTTACACATACAATGTCACTATTTTGTTGCAATTTCTTACAAAACTTGCGCGCAAAAAGCAAATCTAGTATGAAAATTATCAAACTTCTAATGCTCGTAACTCAGTTCAGACTGAGTTTAGAGGTGTACATGTCATAGTAAGTTTGTTTTATTATACTATTTTGTAATCAAAAAACAAGGTTTGGTCGATGGCCGCGCGAAAAAAAAAAGACGCCAATTTCCGGCATTGTCTTTTTATCTGCTCGGCGACCACACTTTCGCCCATGATACCTTTTAAATAAGTTATCCATAAGATTTATCGATTATTAGTGTGTATTTCCTTTGCAATATAGTTTAAATAAATAACTTATGTACAAACTCACCAATCTTATGTGCAGCCTGCAACCCTTGCTCGGGCGTGGTGACACAACCGCGGGCGAACAGTTCCGAAGATATCTTGATCTTCTTGCTGTTGTACTCGGCCTTTAGTTCTGGGAACAAAATAAAATAAATGAAATTCCATCATCATTTGATTCAGCCACAGGACGTCCACTGTTGAAAATTGGCCTGCCCCAATGATTTCCACATCGCGCGGTTGGAAGCGGCCTGCATCCAGCGCCTTGCTGTTAACGCCATGAGGTCGTCGCCATAAAACTATTTTATTTTATTTACAATAGTCATAAAAAAAAAATTCCTTTTAAATCAGCTGACCGCTTCCGCTGAAGACCACGCCCGCTCGGTGGAGAAGTTCTGGCAGTTATACAGATATAACGCCATCTATCGACCACCTAATGAACTAATGTCTAATGGCTTCCGCTCTAAGGCAGCCTGTTTAACTTAACGACACCATAATGCTGATATAGCGCCATCTATCGACAACCTAATGAACTATTTGCTATATCAACAGCATGCTATTGCTTACTGCTTCCACTCCGAGGTAGCCTGTGTAACTTAGCGGCACCATACTGCTGATATAGCGCCATCTATCTACAACCTAATGAACTATTTGCTATATCAACAGCATGCTTTTCCTTACCTCTTCCGCTCCAACGCAGCCAGTGTAAGTTAGCGCCATCTATTGGCAATTTATCAAACTATTAGCTATTTAACAGCTTACCGCTTCCGCTCCAAGGCAGCGTGGGTATCTCAGCGGTCTGAGCGACGATGGACGACGCAATCTTGTCTCCTAAAGCCCACATGGCCTTCTCCGGAGGTCCTATGAAGACCACGCCCGCACGGTGGAGTAGTTCGGGCAGTTTGGGATTCTCGGAAGCATGCCCCCAACCGGCCCAGACAGCCTGGAACGAAGCGATTAGATATTAGAAAGAAGTAGTTTTATCTTTATTTGGAATAAATACAGCTTTAAAATTCAGATGACAGTAAATTAGTTTAGCATTTTATGTCTGCTTGCCGAACGTTAACGCCATCTATTGCGAGTATTTGAGAAGTACTTGCTAAATAACCTTCATTATGAGCTTACCTACAGTTAACGCCATCTATCGACCGTCTATATGAACCACTTGTTAATATCACGCCATCTGTTACGGGCATTTGAGAACTACTTACTAAATGCCTTCCAGCCGGGCTGCCTCAAGGCATAGTCCTGCCTATAAGCCCTATGACCTTTCTTGTGACAAAACCTTATTTGTCTTTTTCTTCTTCTTACCTGCACTTGCGTCCTCACAGCGATGTCCACAATGAGCTCTACATTGGCATAGTTGTTGTTGTTGGACCCACCAGGCACGGGCACATAGTGGTCGGCCATCTTTATGTACTCCGCGTTGGCTTTCAAGTCTTCGGGCGTCACCTGAGATAAATAATAATAGTTGAAGTAATTTCTATACAAATTACACTGTCTCGAAGCGCTGATAAGGCGCAGAAGATAAGGAGATATGTAACACTACTAGACCCGCAACGCAATTAATTTTTATTTTATTTATAGGTAAGTATACAAAACAGCACAATGTCAGAGCAGGCAGAAAAATTAAAATATAAAAAACCACTACACAACAGAAGTATAATAAGGAGTTCGATATTAAGTTATTTTCCCTCCAAGACAAACAAAGTAAAAAATAGTAAAGTAGAAACGCGCCTCAACATGCGTACTCCGAGACAGAGCCGGACCGTAAATTAAGAGGGCCCTGAACAAATACTACTTAAGAGCGTTGTAGCAAAAAGTTGGCGTTCGTATTTTAGGTTTTTATTGCTTGACGTCGCGTAGTGAGTGCGCAAACTGCATTTATCTGTACAATTTCAACGCTGCGTCGACTAAACGATCTTAATCCGTAGTTGTATCGTACCTAAGACAGTACATCATCGATATTAATAAAGAAATAATGTATAATTTACTTATTTGATTTTTTCTCAGATCAGACTTTTAGCAATATCAAGTTACGTAATTAAGGTATTTTTTACACTAGTAAATCCCGCGACAAGTTTTTAATCTTTAAATTGAGTAAAGTAATAAGTTGATGGGTTTGAAAGAATTTATGTTTTATTTTATTCTTTTTACAGCATCAAAAGCTTGTTTATGAAAAATATTTACTATTTAAATTTTACTTTTGACTTTTTAGTTTTTATGATGCGGGATGAAAAAATTAAAATTTATTCTGATTTTGTGACGTTTCCGCACATAAATACGGATAGGTTAAATAAATAGAATGAAATGTATGAAAACGAGCGTGCCATTTTTTAAACGTTATCTATAATATCTGTGTCCATCAAAGAGCTCGTAACTAAACATCGTAAGCGCGATTCACATTATTATGTAAAAGTTAATAATAAATATTTAGTTTTTGTAAATCTAAACAAGTCAGGAAATCAAAGAGGTAAATACTGATATCATTGTGATTTTATAGAATTTATTATTATAAACCACGGTCGTATAATGCTAAAAAATCAGAGGTAACTTTAAGATTTTTATCCATAGAGCAAAATTTATCTAATCGTGTTTTTAAACAGTTATCCCATTAGGTACACATGCGTTCTGTAATACAAACCCATCAAAAACAATACTTGTCAAAAAACCAAGTCTCACTACTCAGTTGTTCTACGGTAAAAAGTTGTGAGATCCATGTAATACCAAGTCCAGTCCAGGAAATCATTAACGTTTTACATAAATATATTGACTTGGCCATCGCATGAAAACACGTGTAAATTAAATTATTTAGTGCGAAATGAAACGAAATTTTGCATGCCTGTGTAGACATGCAAAATTTCAGCTCAATGGGAAAACGGGAAGTAAGTAAATTTTAAGTTGCAAGATTTTACAACTCCAGATGTCAAAGAAAATAAAAGCTTGTAGATAGCTTTACAAAGAAAAGAAAGATTTATGAAGAAAATAAAAAGTACTGTCTACGATACATTTGTTAGGCCGTGTTGCACCGTCTTACTTTAACATTGACATCAAAATTTTGGATGTCAAAAATCTGTCTAACATAAAACACCGGTTATTGTCAGTTAGGGTCAAAGTTAGGTGGTGCATCTCAGCCTTAGTGTATTTTAATTAAATTTAATACAAATAAGGATGACGAAAATAATCGATAAGTGATCTCACTCGAATATTTCTTATAGTAGGTATACAAGATGTCGAACAAATGGTTACTTACTGAAAAAGTGCTTCATGAGACCTAGCAAACGGCATCAATAATATGTTTAAGAACGAACTGAATCTATTCAAAAAACCTATATTTCCAGCTTTCATACATTTAATACAGTTACAAACAAACACGAAATCAATGGTTTCTGAGAATTCTGAGTGCCTTAATGCCGTCCCCTTTATCTGTTTATTTAGTATTTATTAATTAGTATCTCTTGATGATATTGTAGCAAGTTAAACCTAAAATCATGTTTTCCGTAAATAATTTAAATAAGAATGCAATTTACGAGTTTGTTGTTTGATTATTATATATTACTCAATTAAAAATTTAAATTTAAAAAATTAACACTTCTAATATGGTAGGTATGGCTGGCGGCATACATTTAGTATGAAATTCGGAAACATTGAATTTTCGCATAGATCCAGTTTATTCTTTGACCTATTTATTGTTATTGTTTTAAAGAGCTCATGAAGCACTTACAGGAACAGTAAACAGTTTCTCGATATCTTGTATAATTAAAAATCAAGTGAAATCACTTATCGTTTCCACCCTGTACCTATACTTTTAAAAATAAACTCATTTTATACGTTCATTTGTATAAGTATCTACAATACAAATACCTAACCAACTTAGTTGACGTTTTATAAAACTATTTGTCTAAGTGTCATCGAGCGACCGCTGGTGGATTTGCCATTTACCTGACCTACCCCTTTATTACTAAACGTTTAATATCAGATGAATAGTTACGCACCAATTTCTTTCATTCAGTCGTCAGTAATTGAACTTTCGGAAAAACATGACGAAGCGTTGTGTGACCATACAGACGCTATTCAACTTTTATTAGTAAGGAAGAGTATATTTTATGTTGGTAGAAACACAATAGCATAGACTAATGTTTTGACACCCTGTTAAAATTTTTATTAGTCATTTATTTTTTCCTGACCAAACAGATACCATAATAATATCTTTTATCTATTCTACCCATATTCTGTAAGTAAAATAATAAAAAGTTTGAAAAGAAAGAAATTACAAGTCCGATTTACCTAAACAAATAAATTAAAAATACTTGCGGATCAAAAGTACTCAATCATACTACAATTTACGAAAAAATCACGCGTGACGCATATACGTCAGTGGGCAGTCAACTGACATAGACCCGGCGTCTACGAGTGCCAAAGCACGACTGATTTATGCCATTTGATGCACCCGATTTTATAGTATTTTCAAATTAATTTTTCATTTGAAGATTGAAGATAGATATTTTTTCTTTTTCACACAATAATAGTACTATGTTTCTTCTTAAGTATAAAGTAGTTTATGTTGCCAAATGACTTTTAGATTATGAGATGTGACCTGTTTTCTTGCAGTAATTTTTTCGAATTTAGACTATCTTAGACATGATAAAAATGCATTTTAATGAATTAAACATCAAAATTTTCTCAATACACTTTCTTCTTCAGGGTATGCTTATTCTAATGAATACATTCTTTCTTCTTATTTAGAAATAAATTTGTTGTAATATTAGTTCAAAGTTGTGCCTTCGCGAGTTACCTGGAAATCGGGCTTTCGAAATTCGCTGTTTTCGTAGGCAAAAATCCAGTTTGAACGAGATTTTGTCAATAGACATTCCGTAAAAACGTATGATAATTACGATGATATAAGTCAAAAGAAGCTATAACAATAAATTATATGTCTAAAATCATTTCGAAATCTGCCAAATTCTCGATTTCTGCATGAAAAATGTGACAACGCTCTTAAGGGCCCACCTAATTACTCTAAGTATAGAAAAAAATAAGGCAGTAAAATATTTTTTTGACTTGACTTAGCTGGGGGGCCCTTGAATCCACGGGGCCGTGGGCTGAAGCCCAAAAAGCCATAATAATATCCGGCCCTGCTCCGAGAATAAAATGCATGTAAAGCCCGGTCGCCGAGCACGTAGAATTTCGTCCAATGACCCCACGCTACCCAGTCTTATCGCTCGCGCGTAATAATGTTGCTGTCGCGCTCGCACACCGCCTGTGGCACAGTCGCGACAGCAATATAATTACGCGCGAGGGATAAGGATGGATAGCTTGGGGTCATTGGACGAAATTCTACGTGCTCGGCGACCGGACTATAGTTGTAAACACACCACAGCAAAACGTGCGTTGAGCGCTCATCATCTGAACCTCGCCTAAGAATCTTTGTGTTACCCTGAAATCAATAAGTAAAGCCATCCACTCACCATAACGACGAAGCGAACCGCGCGTTCGTTCTTGAACATTTCGTACGACCATCTTCTGATTGATCGCATGCATTTTACAGCTCCAATACCGTTGTTCGCGATCAGAACCTGAAAAACAGAAAATAAGTGTTAAAGAAAGATTAATAACTTAATTTCATCATCATCATTTCAGTCATAGGACGTCCATCCACTGCTGAACATAGGCCTCCCCCAATGATTTTCATGTTCACCGGTTGGTAGCGGCCTGCATCCAGCGCCTTCCTGCTACTTCCTTTTAATTCAAGTAATAATATCATGTAAGACCTATCCGTTATATACTGATTCAGTTTAAGAGAAGGATGAAAGTCAGTTTAACTGATAATTTACGAAAAGGATTGTTATACAATTTCGAATTAAAAACCTACACTTTTAAATTTTTATAATTAGTTTTATCATTGAAAAATCTTTTCCATAATCAGTAAGTATCTAAAGCCGATTGAGTTTAATGCGCACCTCGCTGAAACGCGACTTTCCCTCCCACTCACCCGCACACCTCCCCGTCCGTACCAGAGCGGCGATGTGACGTCACAGCTGCCAAGTGTGCAGTTAATTCGATCGGATTGTATAGTAACTTTATGGGGTTTTCTTTAGCATTATTAAGTGCAATATTTTTATTTTATCACGAGGTATTTTCATCTAAATATATAAAAGGAGAAACTGACTGACTGACTGACAGATCAACGCACAGCCTAAACGGCTAAACGTAGGCACTTGAAATTTGGAAGGAACGTAGCTTAGGTAGGTACCGTAGAGGTGCACTAAGAAAGGAATTTCCGAAATTCCCACGGGAACGGGAATTAGCGGGAAAAACGGGATTCACGCGTACGAAGTCGCGGGCGGCCGCTAGTTCCCGATATAAATAATAACATAATAATAAAGATACCTATAGGATTAAAAACCTCTTTTATCACAAATCAAAACTTTATCATCTTAACAATTCGATTATCGTCATGAATAAGCAAAAAAATTTTCGTGGAAATCAACATTGAAGAACAACCGCTGCAGATAAGCATTGGGTAGTTATCAGTTGTTTGCTAGGTGGTCTATTCTATTGGTGAACCACCTGAATCCCCGGTACATTTTAGCACCGCTAAATGTTATAGCCGTCCACTTCCATTTCAACTTTCTAATTGTTGCAACAACACTTCTGAATTTGGTTTTTGATTTTATTGTGCTTAGGTTTATCTTGTGTTTAAGTTTCACTCCTAATACACTTCTCTCCATACTATTTTGGCATACTTTTAACTTTTTTAAATGTTATAGCACATTAAATTTCATAGCAGACTAACGCCCGTATTCACAAACATTACTATGAGGTCTCACAGTGCGCGTGGACGCACAGGGTGACACACGAACCAATCACAGAGCTCTATTCAACGCTGTGTTCGATTTGCATCACTTAAGCAAGCATCGTTTGTGAATACGGGCGTCAACTCTGAAAGGGACCGCTTTTTGCGAGCTGTCATCGCCTTTTGCGAGCTGTCATCGCCTTTCGCGTGCTGTCAATAGCGAGGCGTTTACGTTACGGTGCGGATAAGTGTGCGTTGCAGTATGGAGTTTCATACAAAGAATACTGAACGCCTCGAGTTGATATGGTAACAATACAATCCCTTTCCGGGTTGATAAATATACGACGACCTTTATCAATCGTATTAGTAAACGCCTCGCCTCGCGTTTGACAGCGCGCATAGGGCGTTGACAGCCTGCGGAAGGCGATATAGATGACCCACGCTGAACTGTCCCACCAAACTCAATGACAGGGGGGCGCTACCATCGTTCAACTATATGGTTTCCAACATGGCAAAAATCGGAACCAGCGATCCGGTATTGACGGTGGCGCCCCACTGTCAATGTCATCGATAGGACAGTCCAGTAGTTTGGAACTATACGGTGTTGATCCCTTTCCGAGTTGATAAGTCTGCTATGACCTTTGGCCTTCATAAACTTGGAAAGGGATCGTCACCCCCTTTCTTCGCCTCGCCGTCAACTAGGCGTGAATCTAACGTAAGCGGTTCAGCAGCGCCGGTTATAGATAGTTTCATCCACGAAGACGCGCCCCACCAATTTTTCGTCTCGGTCGCGCGGGGTGCGGGGAGTTTGATCCGAGCAATCCGAGCGTCATTATTGTAGTGTGCGTGAGCACTCATGGATCATTTAGCGTGTACCGATAACACTCAAACATTAGCGGAGGAACGGTGGGGCGCGTCTTCGTGGATGAAACGATCTATACGTTGACTACGGCTAGTCGATGCCGCCTATGGAAGCGGCACGGGAGGGTGTATTTGTGACGTCAAACATCAGCGAGACTTCAGATGACGTGATTCAGGGGGCGTAATGCGAGTTTACGTCATACGATATCGACTAAAAATGAAGATTTTAGTTCTTGAAAGCTTCCGCTAGGGGCGCTGTACAAACCATCATACCTAATGTCACTTTTTTAGGCAGTCGATATCGTAAGACGTAAACTCACACTACGCCCCCAGACTTGTATGCTCTGTCTCATCATAAGTAAGTTATTAAGTCACACCTTACTTGCTGCTCCCATATCTTAGGCATTGACTCAGTTAAGCGCACTTATAGTTGACCACGCATGCATGCGTTCGTTAGTTAATCTATAAATTACCTTGTTAATAGGTTTGGTGCCTTGAAACCGTCGCACGAACTCCTCGGGTGTGGCGATTGTGAAATCCTTCTCTTGGAATCGCTGGCTGTGGATCACAGTCCCCTGGGACATAGAAGGCCTGGAAAAGAAAAGAAAATTTGATAAATACGTAGATACTTTATAGATCATTTCATCCAAAAAGATGTTTACGTCCTAAGTGGCATCGATTTCTGCAATAAAAATTTGAATAATTTTTACAGGTAGTAATTTTCAAATTTTATTTTATTTGTAGTTTTTTCAATCTACCCACAATATTTCACAAAACTAAGATTTGCCGTTCCTTTTAAAAAATTGCAAAAACTTTTGTCTAGAAAAATGAAATTTTATTAAATTCTTCTATACAAAACGGCATTTTTATACTTTAATGCCTAACAAATAAACGATGGGTTCATACATTAATAAGATCCATACAAAAGCAAATAAAAGTTCAAATACAGTAAAGGTACATAATTTATTTTAATAACGTAAGTCATATAGAAAACTAAGACCACATTTTTATTTTTCTAAAATGGAGCTAAATTAATAAATAAAGAATCTAAAATATAGCCTTCGGTTTCATTTCTTTGTACAGTCAGCATGAATCAAGATGTATGCAAAAAATATTTTTTGACGGTTTGTGAATCTTATTTTTAACGATAATAATATAGAAGTCAAAAGTGTACATCTATGTATAATGCTAACTGTATGCAATTATGTGTAGGATCATAATGAGGGCTATCGTTTTTATACTTAACAGTTGGCACCCTTGGCGATTGACTCTACAGTGGCGCCATCTTGATGAGTGCAAATGCGATAGTCCTCCTACCCCTTTAGCGCTCACCAGTTGGTGCCACTGTCTTCGCTACTAGCAAGTGACAGGACCTCACTCTACAGTGGCGCTAACTGGTGAGCGCTAAAACGATAGCCCTCATTAAAAAAGTTGAGTAAGCACAAAAAATAAAATTTAAGTTTCATTTAATAGGTATTATGTAAATAAAATTAAAAAAAAAATGAATGACTGACTGTCTCAATCCTATAGAACAAAACAGTTATTTTTAGCAAATTAAAGGAGGATTTAAAGGTATCAAAGCCTGTGAGTTTTTTTCAAGCCATTTAAAAGAGTTTAGTAATAAATCCAGTTTTAAAACATTTAGTGTTTATTACTCTGCAATAATATTTTTAATGGTCAACAGCGAGGCCACAGGATCCTGATACTACATTCGTGACGCAGGATGACTATCGCAACTGTATGAATTAGAAATTAAGACATACAGGTGAAATTAACTGTGGCATACTTACCGACATTCCTTCTCCATAATAATTTAACATAGCCACAAAAAAAATACAAGTAAACTCACATTTCCGGTCAGCATTTTTAGTTTTCAAATTCGAATTTAAATGTTTATTTTTTTAATTAAAAATAATGTTCAGGAAACTGACTAACCTGTAAGGACCCTCGGTGTAAAGACCGCTCATGGCTGGATACATTTTTTACGAACTAAACAAATTCTAACACTATTTCATACAAGCGAAATGGTTCAGAACTTGATAACAATCATGAAAAACAAAATTCACATCTTTTCAATACATTTTGATATTTATTTTTTGACGTAGCGCAAACTTTTTGACAGTTTCCCGACAATTTGACGTCTGTCAAACGAAACGACTTGGTCCGAATCAGACTCGGGATCAACTAAAGTTGTTTTAAAGCATCACAATAAAATTATTGTTTTATTGCGATTAGGTTGATTAACCTTATCAAAGTTGTTTTGCAACATGTATGACGATGTCTAACATGCGAATACGTAAGTGTTATAATTAATTGCACATCTATTGACGTCAATTTATAACTTTATTACTTTGATTTTCAGTGATAGATTGATTAATTTAGTGATTGGCAAAATAAAGTTTAGTGAACTCTTCGAACGTTATAAAGAAAAATAATAAAATAATTTTAAAGAAATATCATACTCTGTATGATACGGAACACTTCAATATTTATGCCGCCTTTATACTGTCAGGTAGGTACAGGCAGAAATAAAATTGTACTTATTCTTATCTATGATAAAATTGTTGAGCGAGGATTTGATTGATGATTTGTTATCGATTTACTGATTGTTTATCGTTTATTTTTGATTCAAGGCTTCTTTGTGATCAGTCGGCAACACATTATTTATCTATATTATCTCGCAATATGGAATCTTATCTTAGACAAAATATTATGCGAGGGTAGGTTTGTAAGTTTATAATAAATGTAGCGCATGATGCACCAAACATACCTACATTATGTGCCGCCAAAATATAGCCTAAGGTACTTATTTACAAAACAACTTTTCACAGTATTAATTTCACACTGAATTTGTAAACATTCATTTTTGGCAATATACAAAATTATGTAATTGACCATTATTACCTAAAAATAATTAGTTTCTTTACATCTTAAATAGATAGGTATTTAACTAAATTCTTATTAATAGTGGGTAGGTACTGAATAAATAAAAATGTCGTCCAGCGACACTAAAACCGCTCTGTGTAAATGTTCCTAAAATCATACGACGGATCATACGATCCTTTTATCTCGCTCTAACCGTCCAGTTAACTCGAGTCGGAAAGGGACAGCAGTCTAATTGGTCAAGTTACTGTTGGGTTATTGTCGTTTAAATTGCAAGTTTGGTTATGATAGTCTAAGAGCCCATTTACATGCTTACAAAAATACGCAATTTAAATATTATTTCTAAAATTGTATGATCGAGCTTCTTATCATTAATATTCCAGTAATTTAGAATGCACATTAAAATAGGTAACATGCGACTGTGTTGACTTGACCATAAAGTTTAACTTAAATTATTACCTATAGAAATTATTTTTGGTGATTCTTTTACCATTAATAACAAATAACAAAGTTTAAATATTACTGACTTAGAATAAAGCATAGATGGTTTAATCTTCACACAAGCGCTTCGTCTAACTAAAGTCACAGAATAAATAATATTAGTTGCTAAAGTGAGCCAAAAACATTATGCCACTGTCAATAAGTTGTAAAAATATTGCATTAAAAGCGACTTTCCGGAAGTTTTATCATTTTAATTTTTTATTGTTTGTTATAATTTAATAATTATTTCATAAGAAATGACTTTTATTTTAATTTTTAAAGAGATTGATTTTAATGAAATGTCATTAAAATCAATGTACCAATGTCGGGCTCCTAGACTACGAAGACCGAGGTCACGCACGAGGACCGGCGTCAGCAGCGATCGTTGATCGTCATTGATCAACAACTGATACCGGTTTTTATTTGTTTATTGTTTATTCGCGATGATAAACAAACGTAGGTGGTAATATTTTTAAGATTCAGACAGAATGGCGCGCATTGAGCGCGACGCAGCGCATTCTACTAATACAATAACCGTACAGAAACTGATGTTCCCTTAAAACTTAGTCTAAAAAAATTGCTTAAATGCGAGATAACTCTCTCTCATAAATTACCCTATTAGGCTTTAATTAAAACTAAGCTTTACGATCGATATTCCCTCTATGCGATTTGCTTTAGTGTTCACCAGTTGGCGCTACTGTCTTATTAACCACTAGCGATTATGGGTTTCCATGGATTTCCCCTAAGTTTTAATAATTACGCAAAAATAGTTGGGAAAATAAAACGTAAACAAGCTAAATGCATTTATCGATTCATTGTAACGCATTAAAGTAATAATAAACATCAAAACAAAGTATTTTGGTCCATTATGCTTCATCAAAAATATGGCTAAAATAAGTTTCAAAAACTAAAAAAAAAGCGGCGAACCTTATTAAATAATTTGTTACCATTGTTTCTCATCTGAATCCGTTTCTTCTGAGGGCTCAGACCTGTGCATTTAATTATTTTTATACAGAGTAAGTAATTAATAATGTTAAGAGCATTAGTGTTGTTGATCATTGGTATCGATGGTTGTTGATTATACAAATTACTCTATTAATAGTCTGGTCTGCGAGCACGTAGAATTTTGTCCAATGACCCCAAGCTACCCATCCTTATCGCTCGCGCGTAATTATATTGCTGTCGTGCTTACAGACCGGGCTTTAGTTAGAGGCTTCCGGCGACTGGGACCACTCATAGATAACATGGAAAAATATATTATTCAGGCCAAAATCGGTACAGTCATACGATAAAAAATTCTAAATTATTTATATGAATTGACTCATTCTAGACATGATTTTATACTATGCGCTTAGCAATAAGTAGATTAAGCTAGGCCATTTTTACATACAAATACTAATATTGGACTGAATACTTTAAAGCATTTTCTACCAGTAAATTATTATTAACTGAATTTCATTTATGTAGTACAACAACATATTTTAATGCTTATTATTTTTCCCCTTAGAATCTACTATAAATCCACTATAAATCTACTAGTACTATAAATCAAACGACTGAATTTTTTATTAAATCAGTATAACCAATCATCATCATTTCAGTCACAGGACGTCCACTGCTGAACATAGGCCTCCCCCTTGGACGATATTCGTCCAAGGCCTCCCCCAATGACTTCCACATCGCACGGTTGGTAGCGGCCTGCATCCAGCGCCTTCACGCTACCTTTATCAGGTCGTCGGTCCACCAAGGTATAACCAAGCTATGGCGTATAATTTTTTCCCCAGACAATTATTCATGAATGTACAAATATTTCAATAATAAATAATTTCAAGCGGTATGAGATGACAAAAGAAAAATATTAAAAGATTCATGTGGACAATTATTAATCCCGCGGTATAATTTTTGAGCAGTATGAGTAGACTAAAGCTTTGTCGATTTAAAGGTCAAGTAGCCCTTTTTAAATAAATATTTTATATTAATAAATGATGTTTTTAAATTAAAAAGGATTTTTCTTCAATTATTTCACCTAAAAATTTTTCGTGTGACTGTACATTTTTTTTATTTCAGTTAACATTTACGAGTGGTCCCAATTGCCGGAAGAATATTATTTAATTTTTAAGGATCCGGCGACTGGGACCGCGGTCCCAGTTAATTGCGGTCCCAGTCGCTGGAAGCCTCTTTAGTTAATTTAGCTAAAATCTAATTTAGCCTCGACGACGACGGCAGTATTAGATTTTACATCGACATAATTCAACAATTTTATTGTCTTAGTAAAAATTCTTTTCAATTTTTGTGCAACACAATTCGACAATTTTATTGTCACTTAAAAATTCTTCCAATATTCACAAAAACGAATGTGCATACGAGTATTCGTTACATTTCTGATTTAAATACAGCCAGTGTCAAATAGTTCACGACACCCAAAGTGGCCAAAAAGTTGACAACACAACCTTATTCCAATTATAATAAAGTCGTGTTGAATAATTTGACGCTGACTCTACGTACTATCGATAGAATTATCCGATTAACGATTCAACAATCGATGTTCAATAGTTCACTTAAAACTCACTGTAAAGTCTGCTGTGGGGGCCTCAGCCGTCCTCTCTCCACTTTCTTCGGCTCCTCATCATCTGGGTCGCCTTCAGCTTCATCAGCTTGCAACGTCATCTGGAACTTCTGGAGTAGATTGACCGGCAATACTTCTGTAGCCTCATCGGAGTCATAAGTCCGATTCTCATCTTCTTCCCCTATCACGAAACGCTTCGACGTTCGGCGCTTTTGAAGCATTTTGACGAAAGTCCAAAAGTAGCTAATGATGCTAAGTTTTTATCGACGTTTTTTTCAGAAGGGTGCACTTAGCATCACTGTTTTTGACCTAAAGAATCACTACACTTTGAAGCACACGTTTTATTGTTCTGATACTTTTTGAAGGCAACTTTATGGGTTCCCTAATTTTATTTTTACTATTCTTTCTCCCTATTTAATCAGTTTATTCTGTATTATACAACCCGATTGAGTTAACTGCGCATCTGGCAGCCGTGACGTCACATCGCCGCTCTACTGGGCGAGCGCGAGTCGCATTTCATCGAGGTGCGCAGTTACTTTAGCTCGATCGGATTGTACCTACATTCAATCCAAATGAAATGTCATTTATTTTAACCTGTTTTAAAATGTTAGTCAATTAATTAATTTCTAGTTTTAACATATTAAGTCTTTAGGTAGGTAGGTACTTACTTTATGTAACTGTACCTATAATTAATTACTGTAATTATAGTGACTTAGGCAGTTGTTAAAGTATGTATTTATTTGACAAAATAACCTACTATTTAACCGAATTGAAAAAGAGGTTCTTGATTTCCTATATGTTTTTTTCCACAATTAAGATGCCTACAAAAGTACCAGAACGAACGACGTAATTTATTATAATAAATAAATTAATGTTTTTCGCATAAATTGGAATTCCCGTTTAAAACTATGCCAAGGTGATACACTCTACGGCGTGCGCCACAACGTTGCGATTTTTGAAAAAACTTTCAGTGGTTTTGTCTGGATGTTGATAATGACGACTAGAAAAAATATGAAAAATTTGTGCTATCGTCCTTACGAAAGCTTTAAATATAAGCCTAAATTATTTTATTTGCTATTATACCTACTCAATATGACGTTCTTTTGCATTAAATTAGTTACCTGAAACTGTATATTGGCGTTTAAGTGGGTTTTATTAAAGAAACCTAGAAAAACCCTTCAAAGATTCTTTTCCAATGAAACTTAAAAAGGTGACAAATAATAGCTTTTTCCTATTAGCAGACTTAAGATAAAAAATTATATTAGATAGTACTCTCAAGGAATCTTGTTATAGTGTGCAAGTTTGTCTCGTAATTTATTTATTTAAAATCTTTATTGGACCCAAACATTGCTGTACAAAAGACGAACTTAATGCCGTGTTGCGTTTTCCATTCTTTACGTTTTCCCTTCAGAAAGCATCAGAAGCATCTCTGTGGCGACTCAGACCGTGACCTATTGTATAAGG